CCTGCCTCCACTGCAGTGCCAGGGCCCCCCCTGCGGGGCAGGCATTGACCTCCCAGCCCTTTCTGAGCCAGACCCACGACGAGCTTTCGCCACTGCTGGAAATTGGCTCCTGAAGGCACCTTCACCTGCCAGGTTTGCATGCCCGCTTTCAGATGTCACCCGCTTTCCCCGCTGCATTTTTCCCATGGAAACTTTATGATCCGTCTGTTTTATTTTTGCCATTGGGACCACAGCGGCAGTGAAAAGGAATGCCTCTTTATGTCAGGCTTGTTTAATCCTCAGGCTAATACAGCCCTCTCCCTCCTCCCCGCCCGTTTCAAATGTGCTTTGTTACTCCAGCCTGTGTGGTTTTTGTTTGGTTCATGTAGCTATCGACCCCATCCCCAACGTGGTGGAGCTGTGGCAAGCTGAGGAAGGGGAACTTCTGCTGCCCACTCAGGTGAGGAGACAGGGTGACAGCACTGGTGGGGATGAAGGAGGAGGAGCACAGCCTTCTGGTCTGCCGGCAGTAGCACTCATGTCAGTTTGCCAAGCAAACAAACTGTGTGTCCATTGCACCTGGCAACAGTGCCCTTATTCTAAGTCCACCACGTGATAGCTTGAGTCATGGTGGCTTCAAGTTTGGGGGGTGGGAGGGGTGTGCGTGTGTGACAGAGCGATTGGGACTGCACCTACACAAGGTTGCTGCAGATAGCAGTGTGCGCAGTCAAGATTAGGCTGCAACTCAGCAAGAGGCTGGAAGTGATATCGAGCGGCATGTTGGGAAGGGAGCGCTTGGTGTTGCTCTACCTGATTTTCTCAACAAGGATCCAGCTAAGATTCTGCAGTGTGCGTTGAAGATTTAAGTGGGGGAACTTGGTTTTACTGCTTAAAAAAAAAAATCATGTAGATTGATCTAGATTGATCTATCCATCCACACACACAGGTTTCTATCTACATATAGCTAGATCTATCTCTGTGGATCTGTAGAGATTTATAGATGTGTGTGTGTGTATTTTGCTAAATTGCCATTGCTGTTGCCATTTATTTGTATGTGGCTGACAATTACAGTTTAGCTGGTCTATTTATTGTACTTGTTGCACCCTATGCTGTCTGTCTTGATGATGGTAAAACCTTAGATGGTTGATGTTCCACCCTTGAGATGATGGTAGAACAAAACGATGTTTTTGTAAGTGTTTCTGTGTATGTATGTGTGTATGTATTGTGTGTGTTGTGAATGTATATGAATGCATGTAAAATATACATATGTATAGTTAATCCTGTTCTCCTGAGAACAACCTTTTCTTTGTGATGCTGTCGTTCACAATGCCACCCTTTTGGCATGTTTTAGCTGGGTTAAGTGTTAACATGTAGCTGCTTTGAAGAGCAGCACATTTTTTGTTAGATTTTGCAGGAGGAAGGAAAGAAGTGCCATATTGTAAAATATATGGCTGTTCTTAGAAAGGCAGAAGAATGCTAGGAGGTGCACCATAGAATTTATGACATTTGAGGTAGTCTAGTGCCATAAAATTTGTTTTAATGGGTTATGCCCAGAGTGTAGAATTGTTGTATTCTCCTAGACTTCAAGGCACCAGGCTTACAACTGGGAACGATCAGTCCTTGGGGACATTGCTCTCTTCTGTAAGAGGCTAATAGAACAGCTTTCCTATTGCAAGTCATATCATTATCATATCCATGTTATTGAATATTGATTCCAGAGTGGTGGTATAAGGAAGCTAACAGAACCACTGCTGAGCTCCAAGACTTGATAATAGATGCTATGGCTAGGCTACTTCTTAGGTTCTAGGTTGACAGCGTTTTGTGTTTGTATTAGAGTGTTACCTGTGCCTGCAGATATTTTTGTTTGTTCATTATTTTCTTCAGAATTTGCTTGGTTTCATATGGAAGATTAAGTATGTGTTAAAAAGCTCTCT